GTCTTTCTCTGAAGAAGTGATTGGTGGTTTCAAACTGCTGACCTTGTGCATTGTAGCACAATGCATAACCACTACACCACCATGGTTCCTATCATCATTCTTATATAATTTATGGCAAAATTCTTCAGTTGTTGTTATTATCTATAGGTATATTTGTTGTATAATTACGTAGAGACAAACCCTATTCACTGTTAAAACACTTTGAAGGCAGGGATCATGCTTAATTCGTTGTATTCATCCATGTCATATCAATGCTTGACATCCAATAAACACTTCTCCAATGAGTTAACGGAATGAATGATACCAGATTTTAAATGAAAGGGAAGAGTCATCAGCCACAGAAAACAGACGATCCTTTCTTTCATATTTCCTCTAATCTGTACTGAACCTGCGAGCTTAACTTGGGTCTTGATAATTTATTTAGACAAAAATACGTTACCTAATACTTCTTAAGAAAAAGAGTTTGGAAAAACGTGGAAAGGGATAACATTAATGGCTGGGCAACCTGAAGAGCACTGAGCTGTACACGTAGGAGCTGCTAAACTGGAGAAGGTTTTGCTGTGCATATTTTTACCACGATTGAAAAAAATAATTACACAACTAGCAATGAGTACGAGGAAGAAGAAAATGTTCTAAACTTGATTGTGGTGGTGACTGTACAACTCTTCTTGATATTATTGGACTATTGAATTGTATGATATGCGGATGTAGCGCCAATAAAATTGTTAAAAAAAGAAAAGAACGTTTGGCAAGGAAACGTACTATCACAGTGATGCAGATAGAATGCTAGTAATAGTCTCTAGTGAAAAAATGGACAACAATCAAGACTCAAAATTGGAGACACAGATGGAAAACACATCCAAAAAATCTATTTAACATAAAATCAGTAGCCGAAAATAAATCACAAAATGATAGAATAGAAAACACACAGTTTGATTAAGTCAACCTGGGTAGAGAAAACATACAATACAAGACAAAGGTACATTTAAAGTCCACAGTTTTAAAACTTTTTATTGCAAAAGAAATTTTGTTTTTACTCTCTTTCATTATTTGGTCTGCTCTGGGAGCACTGTTGAGATATTTGATGCCAATATAGAACCGTTATTCACAACAGCTGACATAGTAGATTTTTGAAATTGCTAACCCCTCATTTGCGAATCTGTCTATGAGAAATTTGGTGTCTTGAATTGACTGATAAGTCATTCTAGTCTACTCTACCTTGTATCATATGTGATGCATTTGATTATGCACATCAGTCTGTCCTTTTAGGGATTAAATGCATGCAGAGAAGGAGCTTTGGCTTTTAGCTAAATCTGACTTAAAATGACTAATAAAGGTGGAAACGTTACTGATTTCTAATCTCAGTGACAAAAAATAATAACCTATATATCTGAAATTAAAAATAAAACATACCTTTGAGCCAGGTGGTGCTGTCAGTCCCAAGAAGGCATATACTGCATTATTTTCTCTGGCTTCAAAAAAGGCATCATAGTCCTTGGGAAGAAGAAGGTGAGAAGTATTATAAATGTGCAGATAACAAATGAAAAAATTTTTATGGAGATTTATTGAAAATGACCTCACTGGTCGATACAATCAGCTACCTGCTTGGGTCAGACAGGCTAACTTCCAACAATGCTTGAATTCTAGAAAAAACAGTAAAGAGTCAAAGCTTCTGGGATCCCATTTCATGGGAGTTAGGCAGGATGCTGTTCTGTGAGGTAAGAAATGCAGAATAGCTTAATGCATACCACAATTTAAATCAGCTGTAAGTCAAGCAGCTTATCCCATAGTCCAAAGTAGCCAACTTTTTGCCTGTAAGAGACTGCTAATTACTGGTATGAAGTTTCTACTACAATTCTCCATTATTTCTCTTGCATTATTAATTAAGATAGAAGTGTGCCTGGAGCATAAGGTAGATCAGATATTGCCTAGAATGTGGCAAGCCAAAAGAATGTGAACTTTTGAGATATTTTGAGGAAGAAAGTGAAATGCATATAAAATATGATCAATCAAATTCATCAAGGGATAAGGGGTCTAAATAGAGATAAGGTCCACATGGAACAGTATATTTGGAAACTTATTGTGGCAGCAAATGTACAATTCTGCCAGACGTGATTGTACTATGGGATGATTTGATATAGGTATTAATCCCAATTAAATAAAAGAGAAATTTAAACCCAAGGATCCAAAAGATTCTTGGATTTGATTGGACTTCCCACTGTCATCCTTGATGTCATCAAAATTTTT